GAGAGAGAGAGAGAGAGAGAGAGAGAGAGAGAGAGAGAGAGAGAAGGGGGGGGACTGTGCCAAGCTGTCCATTATGTGACTCTGACACATGCTACTTCGTTTCTTTTTTGCCTTTTGCCTTCCTGGAAATGTTCCAAGATGCACGCCCGGCATTATGGCTCTCACGTCAATGCTACTCCCGACAAGTCCCCCACCCGAAGAGCAACTGCCAAGCAGATTGAATGCTGATTGTTTCATTCATACAATGCAAAACCTGCTTAACATCAGTGGCACTCCTATGGTTGGAGGCGGCTTCCAACAACTTCCCCGGGCCAATCTTCAATGACATCATCCGAGCCCACCAGACTGAGACTCACCCACACGCGCTTGCACTTGCACACACAGCGTCCAAACTCAACAAATAAGCACGGGGCATACATGCAAGATCGCTTGATCACAAACATATCCAGAGAAAACAGCAAACAAAGTCTGATTCTGAATCTTTACCAAAAACATCAACGGGACAATGGACTGGATTTTCTCAGAAAAGTCCAGAGTTCTTGCACAGCACAAAACAAAAACGATGCTGCAAAGGTAACGGCTCCCCAAACAAAACACGCAAAGATAAAGAAAAAAGAATGTTCAGTGGTATTCCCATATACAGCTCTCGGGCATGCGGATTTTCGTCTGCTCTCAGGCTCTTCTTTTTCTTATTGTGAAAGAAGCGGCATATGATAGGGCAGTTCCTTATGCGTTTCCTTTCTTTTGTGCTTTTTTCTTTTTCTGTTTTTGTGGGCGAATCCGCGACGGGTCATCTAGTCGATAATATCATAATAAGAAGCGAAGCACCGAGGAGAAACACGCCGAATTCTGAACACAGCCGATGAAACATGAAGATGAGGAAGGTAAGGAGCACGGCCAGCATACAAATTTCTGCAACGAATGCCCATCGATGTCCATAAACAGCACGGCTTATGTAACTCTCGCCAAGACATACGAACTTCGTAGCCATCACACCATTGACCAGCAAGGAAGGTTACCACGTTCTCCGAGTTCAAGGAGAAGACACAGCGGCCACACTGTATCTAGCACTGGAAGATCACACCCAAGTATAACCAAATACCAGCACTTCGAGAAAAACAATAAACATTAAAGGTCAGTATCCATCCCTCCGACGCGTTTCGCTGTGGGCGTACTCCACAGACTCGTCAGGGAGAACTTCCCGAGACCCGAGCAAAACATGTTTGCTTGGTGAGAGAGGGTCAAGGCCATCCCTCTCTCCTCTTAAATAATTCTTCTCATTACTCATGCCTACCACTCCTCACGAGAAACAACTACGACATTTTCTCCTTCGTCCGCCAAGCTCATGAAAACAAAGACACAGAATTGCGCGCCAGAAAAACACCCAGATACATAGCTTCCAGTACACACACACAGAAAACCCATTGTAATACATTATGCCAGGCTGGTGCAACCCGGTACACTAATCAGATCTGCTGGGAATCAGAGAAGCCCCTACCTCGATGAAGCTTCACACAAATCAGATTTTCTGGGAATCAGAGAGGCGATGTAGGAGAGAGAAATTCACGAGTACCGAAAACATCCATTGTGAAGAAGACTACGATAATCCTGTGTATTCCGTACTACTTACCGATTCCGTTCATTCAAGCGGAGAGTTCTGCCATGAGAGCTCGTGCGTCTCCTCGTACTTACTCAAAAAGTAGTTATGGCTCTGCAGGTCACCGAACTCGATGATGGTGAAGCGACCCCCATCGCCAGGCTTTCCAAGCAAAGCATGCATCCGACAACTCTCCCGCCCGCTTGTAGTGACGAACGGACACGGGGAATGGAAGGGAGCACGAGATACGTATGGTGGGCCCACCCACGGCTTGCGCGGGAAAACAAAATTCTTAAAAAAGCTAGAAAAACAAAATCGCAGAGTATGTGCCTGTTCGACCAAAAAAACGGCCTCATAAAAAAACATCACAATTTAGTAATTTACAAAATTAAATATTTTTCTAGGCCGGGGTACAAGTTAAGGAGCAAAGCCCCCCAACCACCACCGGCCACTCTAACAAAACAAGCTAAAGAGCCGAGAGAGAGAGAGAGCCGAGAGAGAGAGAGAGAGAGAGAGAGAGAGAGAGAGAGAGAGAGAGAGAGGAACCAGCAGAGCACGAGCATGAAGACGAGAGATGGATAAACGCAAAAACACGAGGACCAAAGGCAGTAAGATATTGCACACACACACGCACACACACATACACTAAAACTCTCTCTCTCTCTCTCTCTCTCTCTCTCTCTCTCTCTCTCTCTCTCTCCTGTCTCTTATACACATCTAGATGTGTATAAGAGACAGGTGTATCCGACTCTTGTTGTGTTGGGCAAACAACCTTACA